AGCTGAGCTTCTCGGAACCCGGAGTTGGGAATATCCCCGGAAGTCGTCCAAGCCCTGCGCCTGACTGAGTGTCAGAATTCCCTGGGGACTGAGAAGGACAATGTCCTGGGTCTACTGCCCTGGGAACTGTCACCTCAGCACTCTGGGGGCTGGAGCCTAGGACCTGGGACTTGGACCAGCAGCTGAACTGCCTGCAAGGTGGGCAGAGTGGTTGGGTTGCCCAGTGATGGGTTACCCAGCCCGTCGTGCAGTTTGGAACCAGCCCCCAGGATCTCCCAGCAGCCTTCCCTCCACCTCTCCAGCCCTGCCTCCGGGAGCCCCACAGAACAGACCCTGCCTGATCTCTGGAGGTGTCAGGACAGTGGCTTCCTCTCTCCACCTTTCCTGATCTCCCTGGATGAAGTGGCCCTTCTTCCTCCTGGCCCTTGCCTTCTCCTGGTCCCCTTCCCCGAGAATCCCCAGGCTCGTCTCTCACCTCTAAGTGAAGTTGACTCTTTTAGACTCAAAGGTGGACATTCATCTTGTTAGCATCTGTCCATGTTCTTGGCTGCTGTGGGGACATTTGGGCTCCTGGTCCTGTTGGTCCCTGTTGTGGGGTGACCAGCTATCCTGAGTTGCCTAGGGTCTGAGGGTTTCCTAGGACATGGCGCTTTCTGTGCCAAACCCAGGCAAGTCCCAGGCAACCCCTGAGGGGCAGGTCAGTCACCCTGGCCACGTGTCAGCTTGGCATTTGATCAGTTGACCTTTCTGTTCTGTGCCCCACTATGGGCACCGTCTTCTTTCCACACACCGACAGGAAGGACCTTAGCAGCCCCTTCCCTTGTCTGTGCAGTAGAGCGAAGCAGGGATGCAGCTCGTTGCGTCAGACACTTCTAAACTGCATCCAGGTGAGGCCGAGCTGCGGGTCTGGGGCCGTGCTGGGAGGAACCCCGGCCAGGACTCTAGTCCAGGCCAACAACCCCCTCACCATGGCTGTCTGAGCATGAGGACACGGGCACATCTCCTGTACCCCTCAATTTCAGTCCCCCAGTCTCCTCTATGTTCCGATGACAGCCAGAGGTCACTGTCTCCCATGTTGCTTCTTCCCTGAGAGCCAGGCAAGCCAAGAGCCATCCGACACCTCCTTACAGTCAGAGAACGTCCCGGCTCCCACCCTGACTGGCCACCTCGATCGCTTGGTAGTTCCCAGATGTTTGTCCAGTGGCCGTGGAGCCCAAGCAGGCTTGTCGGTGGTAGGAATGCGGTGCATGCAGCGGGCGCAGTCTCTGGCCTCGTGAAGCTGCGCTCCGGGTGGGGAACTCAGGCGTGAAGCCCGTGAACAGGCTGTTAAAGGTTGTGCCAGATTCTGAGAGGGAAATAAAAGATGCGGATGGGCAATGGGTACTGCGGGCTGGGGCTGCCCATTTGCTGGGTGTCAAGGAAGGCACGTTGTGACCGAGCTCAGCTGATGCCTGATGGAATGCAGGAGGCAGCAGGAGGAAATCTGGACCTGGGAGAGCCTGGAGCCAGTGTAGAGGGGAGGGGTGGACAGGCTGGCTCCCATGGCCTGCGTGGGGGCAGTGCTGCTGTTCAGGAGAGCCACCAGAGAGTTGAGAGATTTGCGTTTAATGATGTCTGCTGGTGTTCAGAGGCAGGGCCAATGGGGAAGAGGACAAGAGAAGGGGCTTGCAGACCAGCAAGGAGGCCATGTACGGAAGATGGTGGCCTAGGGTCCAGCAGGTGGTGTAGGGGTTAAGCTACTGGACTCCCACATGGCCAAGCGTGGCTCAAGTCCCAGATCTGGAGTTTGAAACTCATGCTATGCCCAAAATCCTGAGAGAAGAATGGAGAAGAAGGGATTGCAGTGTGGCCATCCCCCCGGGAAGTGATTTCTCACACACACGCATTCTCTCTCTCTGTGTCTCTCTGTCTCTCTAGTGCATAGCAAAAAAAATCTCTTGTAAAAAAAAAGATGGTGGCGTGGGCTGGAGGTGGCCAGCAGTGGGTGGTTCAGCTGCATTCTGGAGCTGAGCTTGTAGGCCTCCCTGGCGGACTGTTCTAGGAAGTGAAGGGAAAGAAACCAGGGCTGAGGCCTGGCCTTCCAGCCTCAGCCCTGAGTGATGCCCCAGGAGGTGCAGACCTGAGCTCGAACTCCGCGACATGTTAGCCATGGAAGAGTGGAAGTAGAGAAGGGTTAGAGTAGAAGGCGAGGGTCACCAGCGTGTCGATATTTGCAGCCAGGGAGGAGAGGACCCCGGCCCTGCAGCCTGCAGTGCTCAGTGCCAGGAGGAGATGCTGGGAGGTGTGAGGCAGAACAGCTGTGTGGTGCCCCAGCCTTGGTTGTGGGAGGTGCCAACAGCTTCCTCCCTGCCTTCTCAGCCCTGCAGGCCTTGCCGGCCTTGCCAAGGGCTTTCTGGTCACTGCTGTCCCTGTTCAGGAGCCAGCCCCCGTTGCCATTTAAACCCTCAGCTGACATTTCCAGTGGCCTCGGTCCTCCCTCCTCCTGGGGCGGGGTGGGGGGGTCTCCTGTTTGTGCTGTGTCCTTGCTTCATGGTTCCCTTGGTGGTCTCTGTCCTCGGTGGCCTTTCTGTTTTACTGGGTGCTCCCCTGCACCTTCATTCTCAGTTTAGAGCCAGCCCCTCTTTACACGTGCGAAAACTCAGGGTTTCAGTGACTTGCCTGAGGTGGTCTCGGCAGACCTGGGTTTCCTGGCTGTCCACCCAGCATCCTAGCTCCAGCCACAGGGAGCCTGCCCTTCCCTGCTCCCAGGGTGCACCTGCTCGGCTCTGGCTTGGGACCAGGAGTCCGGCGTGGCTGCAGCCAGCCCCCTTCCCGCCCTCTGTCCGTCCCTCCCTGCCTGAGTCCCTGGCTCCTTCCTAAATGGATTAGGATCTTTGCCGGAAGGAGCAGGCCGCTGTCTGGGGCCACCGGGAGGCCAGGCCTGGAGCGCTGTCTGGTGCCGCCTGCTTTGCCCTGATTTGATTTGGGCCTCAGCAGCTGGGAGGCTGGCAGCCCTGCAGCCTTTCTGGGAACAGCTCAGGGATTGTTCGGCACGGGTGGCCGAGGGGTGAGGACAGCCTTTAAGCTCCCAGGCAGGTAAACCTCTCAGCTAGTCCTTTACGCAGTCGGGTCTCGCAGCAGACCCTCAGGCAGGCTTCATGCCACCATCGTCCCCGGCCTAAGCTGCGGCTTGTCTCTGGGTCCCTGAGCTTTGGCTCACCTTCCCTAAGTGCCATAGACTTTGGGCTTTTATAAAATTGCAACTTAGGGGAAGAAATACATTTTATAAACACTTAGAAGTAAACACAATACATACTTTGGCCAAATGCTGACGGACCAGTTGTTAAAATCAATATTTACTCACAGCCCAAGAGTAGACTTGGGTCCGAACTGATGCCAGACCCCCGCTCGGATACATCCCTCGTTCCTCTGGACAGGTGGTCAGCAAAGCCGACATCCCTTGCCTTGCTGCGCATGATGTGCCCTGACATCTGCTGCTCTCTGGCGTCGGTTTCCTGGCTCTGGAGGGCCACAGTCTGTGGTTGGAACCATCGCATGCACTGGGGCCCTGGGGTGCTGCCGTGGGGCAGGCCGAGTCCCTGTGTTCTCAGTCCCTGTGTTCACTGAGCTTATGGTCTGGGGGACAGCCGTGTGGCAGGAGACACCCCAGTCTTGGTGCTCTTGGAGGCACCAGACCCCATGTCCTGCCTGCTGCTTCCCCACCTCCATCCCAGTGGGGTGCAAGACTCTGGTCTGCAGGGAGCAGAGAGGGCAGGGCTCAGGCTCCTTTCCAGGTTTGCAGCCCTTCTGCCTGCTTGCTCCTCCAAACTGACCTGACCCCAGCCTGGGACCATGCAGAGAGTACAGCCTGAGCCCAGAGAGGGAACCCGGCCCCTGCCTCCAGACCCTGCCTCTCCTTTGCTTGGACTGGTGCATGGGCAGCTGCCTCAAGGGTATGGGCTGGCACTGGGGTACCCAGAGGTGTCTCCAGATCTGATTCCTGGAGTCAGGAAAGGGAGGGCAGGACAGAGCCAGGAACAAGGGAGGCTGATCTTTGTCCCTGGTGCCCGGGCCAAGGCCGTGTGGTGGAGGCACAGCAAGCCACTGCCATGCCGGGGTTAGCCAGGATGGAGGCCTGGCCTGAGGGAGCAGGGTGGGTGCAGCTCAGCCCTCAAGGGCCCCACTACAGCAGGACAAAGTCCTGCCTTGGAGAAGGCCAGTGAGGTGAAACGGCCTCTGCCCTGCAGTACCTCTGCACCTCCGAAGCAGGGCCCCATGGTTAGGAGCAGGCTGAGGCTGAGGCCATTAACAGCATGTGGCTTGGACCAGAACTCAGTGGGAGGCGCTCAGAGGCACATGTGGGTCATTGAGGCCCCTGGCTCAGCCAGACTGGGGGTGCAGGAGCAGGGGTGGCGCCTGCACAGCAGGTTCAGGGCAGTCAGCAGGTGATGACAGGGCCAGGAAGGGCACTTGAGGCCCGGGAACCACACCTGAGAAGAGTGGGGCGACGTGGCAGTGCTGCCTTCAGGGGTAGTGGAGCCCAGAGTACCTGGAGCTTAGGGTGTGAGGGGGAGTATGGCGAGGGACGAGTGTGTAGACCAGGAAACTTGGGTATCAGACTCAGCAGTAGAAACAAGTGGTGGGTGGAAGGGAGCCATGGAGGGTTTGCGAGCCAGGGCAGGCCATGACCAGAGCACTCTGCGTGGAGAGTTGTCAGCTGGGGTCTGCCCAGCAGGCCGGTCATGGTACTGGTGCAGACTTGGGGGCAATGTGGCATGGGGCATGTCTCTCACGTGCTGCCATCTGTGCTCACAAGTATGCAGACTTGTGTGCAAGCACTGCGTGTCTAGGCCCCTAGAGACTTCAGTTCCATTGTACACTTAAGGCCCTTGGGCAAAAGGAAGGCCGGCCCTGGCCTGGTCCCACTTGGGAGTCCGGGGCCCAGGTGGGGTAGGGTCGGTGGCTGTCACGGGTACATCCTGTGCCTCGCATCCACCTCCGCTGTCTCCTCCCTCCCTCCAGGTGACCATGGCCTTGCTGGGGAAGCGCTGTGACATCCCCGCCAACGGCTGCGGGCCTGACCGCTGGAACTCTGCCTTCACCCGCAAAGACGAGATCATCACCAGCCTCGTGTCTGCCTTAGACTCCATGGTGAGTGCCCCTGTGCACCCGGGAGGCGGGTGGGACTCCGGGCCTTGGCAGGACCTCGTCAGAGCACAGGGGCTACCTCAGCCCCTTTGAGGAGCTTTCCTGGACCCGTGTCAGTGTCACACGAGGGCCATCATGGTGTTGGAGCATCAGTCACGAGGCCCATGACGCCCATGTCCAGGGCGGGAGACTGAAGTGAGATCGAGTCCTACAAACCTTGCCCCGGAGTGTACGCAGGTCTTGGTCCCACTCCCACAGCCCCTCACCCCACATCCCCATCTGGTCACTTCTCGCGTTCACATCTGGTTCCTGGGATGAGCCCTGAGTCTCCATCCTGGCTGGTTATTTGGAGGACCGTGTGGTGTAGCAGCCCATTAGAAAGCTATAGTCTGCAGGACCAGGAGATGGCATAATGACTACGTCGCTGGACTCCCATGTAGTCAACCTCAGTTTGAATCCCGGACCCAGTGCCTTAAACTCACGCTGGGCACATGTGCGTGTGTGCGTACCCAAGATCCCGAGAGGAGAATGGAGAAGAAGTGATTGTGGCGTGACCATCCCCCGGGGGGGGGAGTGATTTCTCACTTTCTATCTCTCTGTCTCTCTTTTTGGCAAGTGTATGTACTCTATAGCAAAAACCTCTCCAAATAAATAAATAAGAAAGAAAGAGAGAGACAGAGACAGAGAGACACAGAGAGAGAGACAGAGAGAAAAAAAAAGAAAGAAAGAAAGAAAGAAAGAAAGAAAGAAAAAGAAAGAAAGAAAGAAAACCGTAGTCCTGCCATTAAAGTAAGAGGGGTAACTGTCTCAGGACTGGGAGAGACACAGGCCTCACCAATCACGCCTGCAACGCCATGCCTGTGTGCTCAGACCCATAGCAGTTTGTTCCAGAACAGGAATGAACAGTGTCTGTCTCCTTCCGTCTTGCTGTGAAGTAGTTCTGTATGGAAAGTAGGCAAGTATTTTTTTAAAAATCGGGCATCAGTTCGCTGCCCCCTGTACTTTGGGATGGGAAAGTTGATGTAGAGAAGTCAGTACCTTCCTTGAAGTCTCACAGCATGACCAGTTTTTAAAATTTTCTTTAAAATCTTTTTCTGTAAGGCACGTGTGTTCGCTGGAGAGAGACAGAGAGAGAGAGGGAGAAAGAGAGAGGGAAATGAGAAATCATCCCAGAGGCATGACCGTACCACGATCTTTTCTTCTCCACTGTCCTCACATGTACCTGGTGTGATTCTCAGACCACTGGGTCCGGGATTCAAACTGCAAAGCTGGCTGCGTGGGATCTGGTGCCTTAACCTCCATGCCACCTGCTGGCCCCAGCATGACCAGTTTTTTTTTTTTTGGAGAGGTTTTTTCGCTATAGGGCGCGTGCGCTCGCCAGACAGAGAGAGAGAGACATAGAGACAGAAAGCGAGAAATCACCCCCCAGGGGGGATGGTCACGCCGCAATCCCTTCTCCTCCATTCTCCTCTCGGGATCTTGGGCACGTACGCACACGCGCCCGGCGTGAGTTTTAAGCCACCGGGTCCGGGACGCGAACCGCGGTCGACTACGTGGGAGTCCAGCGACATAGCCATTACGCTAACTGCTGGTTCCCAGCATGACCAGTTTTTAAAGTGAACTTCCAAGTGCCAAGTCTGCAGTTCCCCAAAGACAAAGGGCCTCCTCTGTGGAGGGTCCTTTCTCACTTCCCCTCTCTCTGTCTTTCTCTGGTGAGAGCACACATCCTCTTGCAGAACTAAACAAGAGAGAGAAGCCAGACTTCACAGCTGTCAGCGAGCATCACCCAGCTCATAAAGCCAGCACTTTTCAGGTGCCCACGGTGTAGCGCAGGCCTTACAGGCGGGGTTTTCCTATGAGTGCCCTGAGGTGCTGTGGTCTTGGTTGCAGAGACCCCACATGAGGGCCTCTATGCAGAGGGCCTGCCAGCCGCCACCCTGGAATACCCACTTAGGAAGCTCCAGCTCAGAGACTTTCCCTCCAGCCAGTCCTGAGTCCTCACAGCCCAACCCACTGAGACCTGTGAGCTGGGCTTCCACAGATGTAGGAATGGGAGTCAGAGAGGGGTGTGGCGGATCCCAGGCCCCGGCAGGAGATGGCCCAGAGGGGATGGGACCCTCCTCAGCCCTGGTTCTCCTGGGGCTCCTCCCACCCCCTCCTCATGTAGGACTTGCCCCGGGACTGGGGCTAAGCAGGAAGCCCACCCTGGGACTGGGGCTAAGCAGGAAGCCCACCCAGGGCGCGGGGGCAATGTGGAGGGAGGAGCAGAGGACGTGGTGCCTCCTTCTCTTACCGCCCTACCCTGCCCATCTAGGGGGGTCGTCATTCATCCCCACTGCAGAGGGTAACCTCTCCCTGGAACTGCTGAGGGGTCTTGGGCGGCTAGAAACTCTCATCTTACCTCCAGAGCTGGCCCCAGAGGCCTTCTGGTGTGGAGGCCCTCCCACTCACAGCCTCTCCCCACCCGTAGTGCTCAGCGCTGTCCAAGCTGAATGCGGAGGTGGCCTGCGTGGCGGTACACGATGAGAGCGCCTTTGTGGTGGGCACCGAGAAGGGGAGGCTATTCCTGAATGCGCGGAAGGAGCTGCAGTCAGACTTCCTCAGGTTCTGCCGTGAGTACCCCGGGCTCCGGAGGGCCGGGGCTCTCACCCCCACACCCAGCCTTGCCCCTCCAGGGTGACCCTGTGTGGGGGACGAACCAGACAGGAGGGCTTTCCTGAGTGTCCCCACATGCCGTTATCGGGGCGGCCACAGTTCCTCGGTTGGTAGAAACTGCCTGACAGAAGCCCAGGGTGGGCCAGGGCCCGCCGCCTCCATCTGCTCGTGGACAGATGGGGATGCTGGGGCCTGCCATTGTTGCCCGGCTCTTCCTCTCGACCATGTGTCCCCAAGCACTAAGATTTATTGAGCACTTGCTGTGTGCGACACCCTTCCCCACGTGGACTCATTTATCCCGATGTCAGCCCGGCGGGTAGGCGCTGTCATTGTCATAGCCATCACTAGCATCTTGGAGCCGCCTTGCGGAGGCTCTTGGAGATAAAGGGACGGAGCACGCGCCCGGCGCCAGGTGTGGCGCTAACACACCGAGGCACTGGTCCCTTCCCAGCATGCTCACAGGCCGGTCAATTTACAGATGAGAAACCAGGCCCAGTGGGTGTGCGGACCTCCCCAGGGACACACAGTTGGCAAGGGATGCAGGCAGGGGTCAAGGCCGGGTCTCTCTGCTACCCCTTAGGAATCGGGAGGTATACAAAGGGCACCTATCTCCAGGGGTCCTGCCCAGGCAGGGGTTCCCACCACTCTCCAGAGACTGGCACTCCAGCTGTGAGCCTGGAACCCCCAACTCGTCATGTTTCCCTGGTGCTTCAGAGCCCCTTGTAGCCCAGTCCCGCCTCTGCACCCACCTCTCCCAGTGGCCCCCTGTGCTCAGGCTGGGCTGTTCTGGGCTGGACCACGGGCTGCGCTGTGTCCTTTCCCTCCTCTGTCCTGAAAAGCCGTAGCTTCTCTCCTCTCCCTGGCAGAGGCCCCCCACCCTCCCACCCTCTGTTCACCCTCCCTCCGCCTCAGCCCTCTTGGCACCCCACCATCCCACCAGCGTGCCATGGCTGCTCCCACACCGCCCCAGTATCCCATGCCCATAGTCTGTCCGTGAGCTTGTGCCTCCCAGGGAGGTCGGCTTCACTGTTATGAGTTCATACAGCCTGGACACCTAGTGGGACCCATAGGCCCAGGGCCTGGGCGCAGCACCGAAGGCCAGCACCCAGGCAGGCATTTGATGCACAGCGTGGACCTCTAAACTGTGGTCTAGCATGAGGTCAAGAGAGCAGTCTCTTGGAGTCAGACTGCCTGGTCCATCTCTGGGACCTCAACCTGCTGTTCTGGGGAAGGGGAGCTCACACGTGGCAAGCAATTGGAGCAGCGCCTGGCGTTCAGTCCCGACTCAGTAGATGCCACCTGTTGTCATCGTCAGTATTACTATTTACATTTCCCCCCAGGCCTGCTCCCTAGGGTTTGCATGTCAGGGAAGAGCCTCCCCAGCACTGGGTATACCTTATTGGGGTACAGCTGCTCTCCCAGCCACTCCCCATCCCACTGAGTTCACAGAGCCTGTACTCTCTCCAAGCCTGGGCTGGTGGGCTGTGTACGATGGGCAGGGACCGGTCCTGTGGCTCGCCTCCTCCCAGGCTGGGGTCTGGGGAAGATGCACCTGCTCCCCAGAGCCGGGCAGAGCCGCTATTTATAGCGCTGGGAACTCAGCTGGTTTATTTCAGGCTCCGCAGATCCCAGAGGAGAGAGGCTCTGGGCTGGAAGGGGGCCGTGGGGCCCTTCTCCTGCAACTTCTAGTGTGTTCCTCCAAGGATTCACGATCACTCCTGGGCCCCCCCACCCTAGCCCAACCTGGCATTAACCTGCCTTTTTGCAGCCTCCTGGTGGGGTCTACCTTGCTGGTCCTTTGGCAGAGCTGGGGCTTAGACTGGCTAGACAGAGAGCCTGGGTGTCACAGCACAGACAGGGACACCTGCAGCAGACGTTCATCTAACCCTAGTTAGGAACCAGCCAGCTGGTCTCATGAGCATTGTCAGACCATGGCTCAGAGAGGGAAGGGACTTGCCCAAGGTCACACAGCAAATTAGCCATGAGAGCAGATGAGACTCAGGCCTTGAACTGGGCACTGCAAACTCTGTGATGACCAGTCCTGGCTTTCTACAGGGTAGTTGGGACAGTGCTTGCTTACTCATTCATTCCTCATTCATTCATTCCCTTGTGCAGCAAGTTGGGTACCAGACTTCAGGGCTTGACACAGTGCAGAGAATCTCAGCTCAAGACAAGTGGTGAGACAGCAGCTCCTATTCTCTGTCCTATAGGAGGGCCTCCATGGAAGGATCCGGAGGCAGAACACCCCAAGAAGGTGCAGCGGGGCGAGGGTGGCAGCCGGAGTATTCCACGGTCCTCCCTGGAGCACAGCTCGGACGTGTACCTTCTGCGGAAGATGGTAGAGGAGGTGTTTGATGTTCTTTATAGTAAGATCCTTCCTCATTCCATTTGGGGCTCCCCAGGTGGGAGGGATCCCTGATCCATGCCTAGAGGAGGAAGCCCCCTACTGCCCTTCCACAGGCCCTGGGCAAAGCTGTACCCTAGGCATGAAGGCCTTGCTCTCCCCACTTCCCTCCTCCCTGCAACCCCGGAGTAGAGGTCCTGCCCCGGCCCCGTTTGCTGAACACCATCCCCATTGCCCCTGCCCTGCCTCAGGTCACTGCCACCTTTTACCTAGAAATGGCCCCAATCTCCAGCTGGCTCCTTGCTATCCCCACCTGCCCTGTGACCAAAGGGCATCTTCCCAAAGCAGAGGCTAACCGTGAAGTTCTTCCCTCCATGGCCTTCGGGCTCAGCGAGGTAGAGGGCTGTTGTCTTCTCGCTCAGCACCACTCCTGTCTCCAGCACACGCCCTCGCCGAGCACTGCTGTCTCTGGGGACTGCCCTTCTCTCCCCGTCTGGTGGACACCTGCATCGTACACTGGGGCTCAGCTCTGGGAGCCCCCTCCCGTGTGGTCAGGGCCCTTTGGGCCTTTGCTGTCCCCTGCCCCTAACCAGCCCAGGTGCTCTCCAGGTTTGAGGGCTATGGCTGCCCTTCCTGCTATCCCCAGCCTGCAGTTCACAGCCCAGCACCAGCAGGTGCTCCTGGGATGTTTGTTGAATGACTGAGTGAAGGCTGGCTGGCCAACCAAGTCATTCCTGCAGGCTGAAGAGAAAAGGCCTGACCTCCCTTGGGAAGTGTCAGATTGCAGAGTCTTGGGAGCCCAGTGGGGGCCTTCACTCCCTAGGGGACCTTGGGTGGTCTCGTTGGTCTCTAAGGCTGCTCCTCTGCCTTACTCTATGCCTTCCTCCACTGCAACCTTTGGTTCTATGGGGCAGAGGTCTCTGAGGAAACGCCTGCTGTTTTGATGTCATGAGGAGGAGGCCAGGGGCACCCTGGGGTTTCAGAGGCCTTGGGCAGCTGGCTGGCTGGCCACCTGGGATGGGAGGCTTGTCACGTGGTTGGCTGTGCCTCTGTGGACACTGTCAGAGGACTGGTGCCCAGAGCCCCCACCGCTCCACCCTTCCCTGGCGCCCCCTGCTCACCGTGGGCAGGTCAGATGTGGCTATGAAGGGATAGGCTTCTTTCTGGCTCTGGAAGGGGCTGCAGCGTGGGAGAGACACCCCCGCAGCCCCTAGTCCACCTCCCCTTCTCTATCCTACTCCTGGTCCCCACCCTGCTTCTGACTCTTCAGTCGACCTTTCTCTCCTTTTTCCGAGCCGCCTCTCCTGGCTTGTGTCCCCCTCTCCATCTCTGTGCCCTCTTTGCCGTCTTACTCCTTCATCCTCCTCTCCCCAAGGCCCCTGTTTCCCCTCCTCCCGGGTGCCCAGGTGGAGAGAGGAATGGCTGGGGAGGAAGCAGGGGCCCTTGATGGGAGCCTCAGGCCCTCAGGTGCAGATAGTGGGGTCTTGTCCATAGCCCCAGCCCGAGGGGTCTGTGGGTACCGAGTCTGTAGGAACCCACAACTGGAGCAGGCACTCAACATTGCCCAGTCTGGGGCTCGCTCGCCCCATCCCACCCCACTGCCCTCTCACGCCAGGCCCCTCTGCTCATCTCCCGCACAGGCGAGGCCCTGGGGAGAGCCAGTGTGGTGCCACTGCCCTACGAGCGGCTGCTCAGGGAGCCGGGGCTGCTGGCTGTGCAGGGGCTGCCCGAGGGCCTGGCCTTCCGGAGACCGGCTGAGTACGATCCCAAGGCTCTCATGGCCATCCTGGAGCAGAGCCACCGCATCCGCTTCAAGCTCAAGAGGTGAGTGTGGCAGCCTGCCTGGGCCTGGGATGGGGCAGCCTGGAGGGCAGCCTGGTGCCATCTGGCTCCTCCAGCCAGCATGGCCACTTCCCCAGTCAAAGGGTGGGACTTGAGACACCCCATGGGACCTCAGTTGGGAAGCTCCCAGTCTGAGGGGGGCAGTGAGAACAAAGCCCAGGCATAGAGCAGGAGCTGAGCCAGGCCGCTTGGTCATGGAAGGCTTCTCAGGGGACATCTGTATTGCAAAGAGACTGGCAGGGACGTGGCTTGGTGAGAACTAGTACCAGCGGCATCCCAGGTGTCAAGGACAGCCTGTGCAAAAGCGTGGAGGTGGGAGCTCTGTGCTGTGCATGCCGTGCTGCTTGGGGTGTGAACTGGGTTCTTTAGAGGCTGGGCCAGAGACGGTACTGATTGGAAGGTAACCTGAGAGCTTGACGTGGTGCTGGCTCTGCTAGGGCAGGCACTGGCAGCCCACACACAAGCAGGGGAGGGACACAGCAGGGCGAGGAGGCCGTCAGCTGCACCTGCAGGATGTTTGCGGACTGAGCGCAGAGGCCCAGCAGCAGGGCCTTCAATGGTCTGGCCACATGGCCCGAGAACATCTCGGCCCACTCCTGAGCCTGTATCCCCCTGTAAAATGGGGGGCTGGCTCCCATCCTGCCCACCACATGGGGCTGTCGTGTTCTGCAGAGGGAGGGACGGGGCGGTGGAGGAGATGAGCGGGCAGGACGGGTGTACGAAACTGTCCTTGTCCTCTTCTTCTCCCAGGCCGCTCGAGGATGGCGGGCGGGATTCCAAGGCCCTGGGGGAGCTGAACGGTGTCTCCCTGATGCCCAAGGGGTCACGGGACTGCGGCCTGCATAACCAGGCCCCCAAGGGGCCGCCCCAGGACCTGCCCCCCACCGCCTCCTCCTCCTCCATGGCCAGCTTCCTGTACAGCTCTGCGCTCCCCAACCATGCCATCCGAGAGCTCAAGCAGGAAGCGTCCGCCTGCCCGCTTGCCCCCAGCGACCTGGGCCTGGGCCGGCCCATGCCAGAGCCCAAGGCCTCCGGTACCCAAGACTTCTCGGACTGCTGTGGTAATGCTGCTGCTGGGACCTCCATGTCTAGGGTGGGATGGGGTCACTCGGGCAGGGGCACCCACCCACCCACCTGGGCTGAGAAGACGAGTGTCTGGGCAAGGGAGTGGGCTGGACAGATAGTGTCCTGGCTGAGATCCACTCAGCCATCTGTGAGCGGGTCCTTGGCCTGGGACCAAGCGGGGACCAAGAGTCTGCAGGGACTCCCGAGGAGTCTGTGAAGGGAGGAAATAGAAGCCCCGTGATTTCCTGAGCACCTACGACATGCCCAGCCTTGACTAAGGGTACTGGGGCGTAAGAGGAAGATGTGCAGATGACCCGAGTTCATGTCCTGGCCCACTACTTAGTGGCTGGTGCCCCAGGGCACGCCTGTACTTCCCTGAGCCTTAGTGTGCTCATCTGTATTATGGGATGCTATGTCACGGAGCCGTTAGCATGATGAAATGGACCAGCAGCAGCTGCCGCCCCAGGTGGAAATGTGTGTTCCCAGGCCCTACCACCATCTTGCTGGATCTGAAGGTTTATTCGGGGTGGGGCCCAGCAGTCTGCTCAGTGGTTCCGACGTGCTCAGGTTTGAGAACTGCTGTATTAGAGCACTTCTTCCACTGCTCGGCACATACCAGACACGTAGCATTTCTATCAGCTGTTGGTATTACTATTAGAGCCAGTGGGGGGCGTGGTGGAGGCAGTGACTGTGGGTCAAGTCCTGGAGCCAGCAGCTGGAGAAGCACGCCAGGCAGTGGGTGTGCATGCCCTAGATCCCAGCAGGAGGGAGGGACTGAGGAGAAGATACGGCAGCATGACCATCTCTCGTGGGGGGGCGGTGCTTTCGCACTTTCCCTCCCTCCGTCTCTCCAGTGAGCACACGTGTCCTTGGCAAATATTTTTTAAAAAGGAAAAGAAAGAGAAATACAGTTAATCTTTAAAAAAGAAAGAAACAAAGAGAGAAAGAAAAAGAATAGCTCTTTCCAAGTGTGTTGTCTGAAGTAAGTGTCCCCACCTGGAAAAGGGGGCGTCTGGCACCCCACGCTTGCTACGCTGGTGTTTGACAGCAGATTCTGGAACAGAATGTCTTGGGCCTCTGGTCAGAAAGCTTGTGTTGAGTTTGCGATCACAGATCGCAGTCCTGGGGTCTCCCTGGCAGATGAGCCTGTGTGCTGAGGCTGGACCGGAGGAACCCCTTCGGGTACCACCTCGAACCTGTACTTTTCCTCTCCTTTGTCCAGGACAGAAGCCCACGGGGCCTGGTGGACCTCTTATCCAGAACGTCCATGCCTCCAAGCGCATCCTCTTCTCCATTGTCCACGACAAGTCAGGTAGGACAGTGTGCAGGGCAGCACCCTGGCCAGAGTGGGGCCCCAGGTTGGAGGTGGTGCTCACCGAGATGGCAGTGTGTCCACCAGGTCTTTGTGAAGGAAGGACCCGCTCTGCTCAAGGGCCTGTGAGTAAAACTGAGGCGTAATAGTTATCCATTGCTGCATAACAGGTTACTCCAAAGCACAGACTGAAACAAGTATTTGTTACCTCAGTTTCTGTGGATCAAGAACTTAGGAGCAGGGACCAGCAGTTAGCGTAATGGCTATGTTGCTGGACTCCCACATAGTCGACCGCGGTTCGCGTCCCGAACCCAGTGGCTTAAAACTCAAGCCGGGCACGTGTGCGTGCGTGCCCAGGATCCCGAGAGGAGAACGGAGGAGTAGGGATTGCGGCGTAGCCATCCCTCCTGGGGGATGATTTCTCACTTTCTGTCTCTCTGTCTTTTTGTCTGGCGAGCGCACGCGCCCTATAACAAAAACCTCTCCAAAAAAAAAAAAAAAAAAAAAACAAAACAACGGGCAC